AGTTTTTTTTTTTTTTTTTATTCAATTCAATTTTGGAATGATAATTTTCATGCCAGACTTACACAGCATTAATTGTTTTTATTTTTGAGCATATACATTGTTGCATGCAACTGTTTATCTGAAGTAAAAAAAAACACACTTCTCTGTTGTAGAATTCCATTTTAGCTGCTTTCAGTCTGTACTAGATAAGTGTAGCAAAGCTACTTAAACCAAACTTAAGGCCCTATTCAACATTTATAGCTTTTTAAGTTTATTGACAGAAGTGGAAAGCATCTGATGAGTACCTGGGACTCTTAAATCTGAAAGGGGAAATTTTATAATAATAGTTTGAGTCATGTTGTTGTTTTTTTTCCAAACTATTCTATGTCTGAAGGGAAGCGATGATACATTGCAGATCAGAGCCTACGTATATTGCTCCAGTGTGTTTTAGGAACATTTTAGAGAAACTTCTCTGAGCCATCTGTCTGTAACTACACCAGACCCTTCACAAAAAGAGGTTTACAGATAAGGAATTCTCTGTGGGAATTGGGCTTTCTGTACAGAACCTATGTTTAAGGTTTTGTCTTGTCTCACTATCTTAGAATTGTAGGTCACTGTTTTAGAATTGTAGGTCAGTGACTGTTGGGTAGTAGTGTGTTGTCCAACAGGTGTTTTAAGCTCATCAGAAATTCAGGATGTGAGTAACTAAGTAGCACACTGCCTCAGTATAAACTGAATTTATGTGTTACTCTGGTCTATTTAATCTTACGGGGACATTTTCCATTGTCCTCGAAAGTGAGTAGCTAGAATATTGATGTGCCTTACCCTTGCAGAAGTTAAGAAAAAAGTTTGTCCACCACACTAAATCTCTAGAAAAATATGATGGTTTGCAATATGGACACATACACAACACTTTCAACCAAAGTTGGTAGGGGAAAGCTCATGGAAAAAAAGAAAGTAATGGCATAAGCAATAAACTATCCCAAGCAAACAGAGAGCATCTGTAGAAATTACTCTACTGCATCATATAAACAATACAAACTCTGCTTCCTTCCATTTCTTTTTTTCTACTCTTCTAATCATTTGTTTTTCCCCTACCCTGGTTTGGCATCACCATCATTAAAATATCAGCAAAAGACCAGAAACGTGCCTGGTTTCATGGCATTCAAGCAGGTATCACACACAAAAAAAGAAAGATAGAAATTAGTTGTTGTACCATTTTAAAACTGCTAGAGATATTGCATTAATCCAAAGTACCCAAATTTAAGAGCAACTAACTTTTTCAACATTATTGCAAGATGGATCCTAACAATGCAGAAACTCAAATAAAGGCAGAAGTCATTTATCTACCACCTTTCATTACAAGTGGTATTGAACTGTCATAAACCTGAACTATAAGATACTTTTTAAAGAGAAGAATAGGTTTATCAGTGATTCTTTCTGTCTTGTGAATTATACTCTGCACTCAAGTAAACCTCCAAAACTTATCATAATAGCCGCTATAGTAATAATTATTACTAATAATGACAGTATTTTCTTCTAGAAAAAGCAGGATAATCTATTCCAGAAGTAACTCAGGCTCTCAACAGACCAGTATCTCATCATATCCTGATAAAAGCTCTGCTCTCCAAGGGCCTAGTGCTTCTTCCTTTTGTGTGGCCTATTTGGTTCCTCGTGTTTATTCATTGTTGTTGCATTTGTGACCTTATGAATGCTCAAACTATAAAACAACGTTCTTAGACTAAAACAGCACTGCGCACTCTCTACCTCCACCCCTACTAAAGTTCAGAATTATAGTTGAATTATTTTAAGGCAAGGAATTCTTTACATGTACCCTCCTATGCCAGAATTTTATTGTAGAACTAAAGAGGTTGATCATCACAACAAACAGAGGTGTATAAGTTTGTGCAGATCACTAGGTCCCTTTGGATGCAACTGTCATATTTTCTGAGAAATCCTTACTGGACATGTACTATGCCATTGTGCACAATTACCATGAGGGTAAGAACTATGGCATCCCTCATAGAGATGACTCCTGTGATTCTGCTTCACTTAGATGAGGGAGGCCCAAAATGCCCACTAACAGCAGATATTCAAGGAGATCCTTATACAGCCATCTCAGTCCTTTCACCCTGAAATACTGAGGAGGAATCTCCATTGCTGCCTCCTGATTGGAATAATATGTACAGTGCTTTGAAGATAGTCTTCTATCTGGGGACTGTTTAGAGGGAACCATCTAGGCTCTTATTAAAACTGGTTCTATATGTTCTGGCCTCCACTGTAAAAACACTCCTGATAAGCTGTTGATGTATACCTTCTCATCAGAAATAATTTGCTTTCTGGGTATTTTATGGCCACTCTGTGAATCAATCTAATGTATTTGTGGTGTAGAGATCTTTAGAATCTGAATACTAAGTGTAAAGACTCTTGTAATTAATTATTTAAAGACATTTTAGCTCTTAACAATTTTTCTCTCTTTGTTGACCATCGAGTAACTGGTTGGTTAATCGTGTCTGTT